GAAGAAGGGATTGCCATCCCCCCTGGGGGGTGATTTCTCACTTTCTGTCTGTCTCTCTCTGTCTTTCTGGTGAGCGCACCAGCCCTATAGCAAAAAAAAAAAAAAAGAAAAGAAAAAAACTCTCAATAAATAAATAAATAAATAAATAAAAAGGAGGAATCCCATATAGATTGATACCCTATAAAAGAATCAAATAGAACTTCTGGAGATGAAGAATATAATTCAAGAAATCAAAACCTCCACTGAAAGCATCAAGAGCAGATTGGATCGTGCAGAACAATGAATCTCTGATCTGGAAGAAAAAGCCTCTGACTTAGTCCAAATCACCAAAAAGAATTTAAAAATAACTAAAAAAGAAAAATGATGACAACATGGCAAGTATTAGATACCACTAAATATCCAAATTTTCGTATAATGGGTATTCCAAGAAGGCAAAGAGGCTGGTAAAGGTATAGAAAACTTATTCTATGAAATACTGCCTGAAAAATTTCCAAATCTAGAGAAATAGACATATATCTTGGGAGCAAAGAACACTTAAAATTGAGTCATTGGAAAAGTCATGATGTATCTTTCTATATAAAAACATATCATGACTTTTCTGACAACCTGATATTTCAGAAGATCCCATAGCAAAGAGCCCTCCCAAACTCATTCTATGAAGCCTCCATCATGTTGATCCCCAAAATAGCAAAAAAGGAAAACTACAGACCAATATTTCTGACAAATATAGATGCAAAAATCCTCAACAAGATACTAGCCAACTGTATCCAATAACGCATTAAAAAGATTATACACCATTATTTCAGGGATGTAAGGGTAGTTCAACACATGAAAACAATAGATCTAATATATCATATTAATAGAATAAAATATAAAAACTACACAACATATCAATTGATGCAGGAAAAGCATTTGATAAAAATAAAACATCCCTTATAATTAAGACTCTCAGTAAAAATTGATAATGAAGGGACATTTCTCAACACAATACATTTGTATCTTTCTTCATATACTATGGCCAATTATATTTGTCCATATGTGAACTTAGTATTTATGTCCTTGGCCCCTTTTTCAATCAGGAAACTGAAATGTGTTGCTTTAATAATATAAATATATTAATAAAAATAAATTTATATATAGTGAGAATAACACTAACAATTATGACAATAATTTTAAAAATCCTAGCCAATTTTTCATGGAAATTTCATTAAATATAAATTTGGAGGAATTCATATCTTTATAATGATATAAAGTCCATCCATGCAGGATATTATATTTACTTTTACTTACCAAAGAACTCAGATATTTATATGTATCCCACACATCCAGCAATGTTATATTTATTCAAATTTACCGAAGTTTTCTTTGTGGTCCCTGGCAAAGCTGTATTATATTCTCCATACAGATTTTAAACATTCATGTTCAGCTCAAAATGTTTTATATATTCTTTCTGCTTTTAGTTTTTTCTATGATGTTATTGCCTGAATATAAGAGAACTATAATGTTTGTATATTTATCATGTAAAAAGGCTACTTTGCAAATACATGCACTCATTTCTTTTTCTCTTCTTAACAAATTGGACAAAACTCCCAGTATGTTTCCAACTTTATGGGTATGTAAATAGCATTTCCCAATTGAGTACTCATACTATAAATCATATTTTATTAGAAAATGTAAAAGAGAATTATATTAAATATTAATAAATACCTTTTTATATGTCTTTCCAGATAACCAGGTGTGTTTTTTATTAATACCTAGACACTGATATAATTAGCTATATTACTAGGTTTGTAATTATTGATTTATCATTTTGTTCCTAAAATAAACCCTACTCACTTTAGTATATTATTATTTTACCATACACTCACAGTAAAACTTCTTGATAATGTCTCTTTTAGTTTGTGGTTTTTATATCTTGCCTGTGAAGGTACTGCCCATCTAAAAATTTTAAAAGACAAAATAGATGGGTCAATCAGAAGTGTGTTGGTTCAAGCAGCTAGATTCCACATGGCTGGTTACTTGGTTCAAGTCCTCGATCTGGCAGCTTGAAGAACATGTCAGGCAAACGTGCACATGTGCCCCAAATCCTGAAAGCAGGGAGAAATGGAGGAAATGGGATTGAGGCATGGTCAGCCACTACGAGGGGTGCTTTCTTACTCCCTTCCCCTTTTCTGTCTTTCTCTAGTGAGTACATGCACCCTCTGTCAAATTAACAAAAACAGAAGAAAAAAGAAGAAAGATAAACACTTCTACAAATGGGGCCTGGTGGTGGTTCAGTGGTACAACAACTGAACCACATGCAAAAGGTCTTGAATTCACATCCTGGGACCTTCAGGGACATGCCAACTGAAACTGGGGGTGTTTGGTAGTGAGAAGGTTGTATTGGGAGTACCTCTCTCTCATGAAATAAATAAACAATGAAAATTTAAAAAAGAAAATTCTACAAACGATAAAATAAGCAATTAAAAAAGTACAGTCAGACAAGGAAAACATTTATAATAGATATGATTAACAAATGATCACAATCTCTAATATACAATTCAGTAGGAAATATTACACTGAAAAATGGAAAAAACTATAAACACGAAATTCACAGAAGAATATACACACTGTATAATAGGAAAAACCAACTGTTTTCCATCAACACTCCCAATCAACATAGAACACATCACCTTTGATCACCTAAATATGTGTGTGGTTTTTCCCACACTGAGCAGTTCTGCAACACCAACTGGGCATGTTATTATTTAACTGAATTCTGATCCCACTGTGGTCGGCCATGTGGGAAGGTCCAGCGTGCCTTATCCACCATGCCACCTGCTAGTCCCACCATCATGGAGTTAACATCAGATGCTGTAGGTTAAGTTTCCCAAGACGTCCCCCATTTCAGTTTTCAACAGAAAATCTCAGCTTGTAGCCTGTGTTTCTGACCAACCAGCTATACATCAGGGGAGTCCCCAAACTTCTCCATGGGTTTGATTAATTTGTTAGAGCATTTCACAGAACTCAGAGAACTACTTCCTTATATTCACTGGTTCATTATATTAATAAAGAATAGAACAAAGTACAGAGATTAACAACCACATATAAATAGGGCGACACATATGGGAAGGATCATAGAGCTTCCATGCCCTTTCCAGGATATGCCACCCTCTCGACACTTCCATTTCCCAAAAGCTCTCCAAACTTCATAGCTCAGCAATTTTTATGAAGGCTTCATCATGTAGTCATGATGGATTATTAGCTCAACCACCAGCTCCTCTCCCTTTCTCATGCGATGAGCGATGGGGAAGTTTCAAGTTTCTAATCATGGCTTGGACTTTCCAGTGACCAGTTCCCATCGAGGAACCTCCAAAAGTCACCTCATTAGAACAAAGACACTCCTTTTACCCGGGAAATTCTAAAGAATTTAGGACATCTGTGTCAGTAACCAGAGTTAAAGATCAAATATTAGAACAAAAGTGTACCTAGCACCCCTATTACCCAAGAAATAATAAGGGTTTTAGGAATTACATGCCAAGAATTAGGGATTTGTATATGTACATATACACATATTTTTCATCATCAAATACACATACACACATATGCTTATATACAAGTATGTATATTAAAATAATTTGGAAAAAAAATAAATAAGGTAAACCACATATGGTGTTAGCCAGGGTATGGTAAACACTCACTCTTACACATTCTTGGGAGGATCATAAATTGATAGAATCTTTTGGGAGGTTAATTTTTAATATTAACGCCAAAATTTCACTCTGAACATTTAAAAAACATACATTCTGCTCTTAAGAAACTCTCCTACAGGGTCAGCCCCTTAGGCTTATGGTTAAGGAAGCCAAATCTTATATTGCTGACCACAGTTAGAATCCTAGTCCCAGAGGCTGGAAAAGCATGCCAGGAACATGTGTGTATAGAGGAGAAAGGACTGCAGTATGGCCATGCCCCACGTGGGCTGCGCTTTCTCCCTCTCTCTCTTAATCTCTCTGCCAAGCACGTGTGCCCTCTGGCAATTACAAAAAAAAAACAAAGAAAGAAAGTAAAATAAATTCTCCTATAGATAATTGATGTTGACTGATACAATGTGTATGTTCACTACAGCACTGTTAGTACAGCAATATTAGAACCTATCTAAATATCCATAAGCAAGAAATGTTTTCATAAATTAACAGTAGAATACCATTGTATTATTTGAAAAAGAAATCAATAGATCTAAATGTAAGGGTCTAGGAAAGATGTCGTGATTAAGCAAGTGGGAAAAAATTTGCAAATTAAAGTTTTTGGCATGTAAATACACAGACATAAATAAGATATTGAAGAATATGATCATACCATTACCACTAGGAAAAGAACTGAAGGTTGAGTTTTACTTTTTATTTTTTGAAGTAGTAAAGATATGGAAAATATTTTTACCTTCTCTTGGACATTTTCTATATTTCAAATTTTAAAAAATTAAATTGGCATTTTAATTTGATAGCTTTCACATAAGACCTCTTTGTGTACTTTTTTTTTAGAATTATTTAACTTTTTAAAAATTTTATATATTTTAATTTGATCAGAGAGGGACAGAGTGAGAGACAGAGAGGGAAAGCGAGGAAGCAATCCACCAGGTCCAGGACTTGAATCATGGTCAGCTATGTAGGAGTCCAGCACCCTTAACCATCATGCCACCTGCCGGCCCTTTTTGTGTACTTTTAAGCAAGACCAGTCTATAGACTCTGTGTGTGTGTGTGTGTGTGTGTGTGTGTGTGTGTGTGTGTGCGCGCGTTAGCTCTATTTAAATATAAAGTTAAACTATCTTTAAAAAATGAATTGGTAGTTTTCTATTTTTTGTGCTATGTAAGTTTGAATAAAATAGGACTGATTTGATTTTTATAACGATTCTTAAGACATACAGTTCTTGAACAACCTACTTCTTCCACAGGCTCTCAGTCTGACATTCAGACCCCTTCTGTGAATAAGCTCAGCTGTTCTAGCTGCATGAACTTACTTCTTATGGAGAAGTTTTACTTACTCTACTGTTCATGTCTTCAATTTGCTTTGCTCGCTGAATTCTCTTCACTTCTAGAACCTGCTCTCTTTTCTTTTGCAACCATGCTTTAAATACCATGTCATTCTCTTTTTTCTTTTCTTTTTCTTCTGCTATTTTCTGTTGTTCTTCCTTGTGGAAAGAAGAGAAAAAGACATAATGAAATATTAACAAAATTACATATGAGTTATCAGAAAAGAGGGGTATTTGTATACATGAAATTAGCAGTCCTGTCCCTAAGACTTTCCATATGAAAATTGGGCATCCTTTAAAAGCAGGTCTTCTCAGACCAGGAGGTGAGATGAGGTTGAAGAGCTACACCCACATTGCCAAGTTGGAGGTTCGCGTCCCAGACCCAGTAGCTTGAGAATCACAATGGGCATGTGTGCATCCCCACACAAAATCCCAAGAGGAGAGTTGGAGAGAAAGGATCGCAGCATGGCCATACCCTGTTGGGGGCTATTTCTCTCTCTCTCTCTCTCTCTCTCTCTCTCTCTCTCTCATTCTCCTTGGTAAGTGCATGCACCCTATAGCATAAAAAAAAAAGAAAATTAAGTCCTCTAATTCACCTGGGGGTGGGGGGAGGGAATGAAGATTTTTCAAATACACTATAAAGCCTAAAATTACATAGTACTACAATACATACATGCTGCTGAGGAATACTTCTGATTTCCCTATGTCTGAGTTTACTTGATATTAAATTCATCAAATTTCAGCTATGCATAAGAAAAAAATACTCTAGAAGCACTATAAATGTCTTAAACATTGTTTCATATCATTGTTATCTATATGTCATTGCTTTATAGCATTGCTAAATTTGTTAATTGTGATAAATGGTATTCAAGTTATTGAGGAAAATGCAATAATCATTTAGAGATGTCTATTAGTGAGACATGATATACTGTTTAGGAGTTGCTTTAAAAATAAAATAGTCAAAAATGGGACGAGATGAAGAAATATGTCAAACCTCAATGACTTTTGAATCTGATCTATGGTGATATAAGAATTAATAGTACCTTTTTAAGTTTCTAGAAATTTTTGCTAAAATATTTTTCAAGACTTCTATATTCATAAAGTAAAAATTTTGCTCTCAGAATAATAGACTTAATTAACTATTAAGAACAAAATTATTTTTTTCATCTGAATTATTCAGCTAGTATTATAAAAGGGAGATACTCAAAATCAGGAATGTAGATATATAAAATAGCTGCTGCAAGCAAAACATAGAGGAAATAGAAAGTAGTTGCTATAAGCAAAACATAGAGGAAAGAGCACCAAACTTTAAGTCAGGTGACTTCAGTAATGATCCTTCGGGTCATACTATGTTAGTTTGGTCAACATACTTCTACCTCAGTATTATCATCTATAAAATGGAATTGCACTAAAGAGTTCTTAAGTCTCTTCCAGTACTAGAATTTATTCATTTAAATGAACTAAATTATACCTGTCCATACTTAAATTTTCTTCAAATGATGGAGTTCAAAGTATTTCCTTATATTTTGGAAATATAGCAAAGCCCTTTTCATTCCTTTTGATTGAACAAAAGGAGGGGAGAAAAGGAAAACATACCAAACAGCCTAAAACATCTGAAAATATCTGTTTAGTATTTTCTGAATCTAAAAGTAGCCTATATTATGTAAACTGTGAACTTATTAAAAATCAAATTTTACATTTATTTATAGATTTTCTTTCCTCTTTTTTTATTTATTTTTTTATTTTAGGTTTTTGCCATAGGGCGCATATGCCTACTGCAGAAAGAAACAGAGGGAAAGAAAGAAATCACCCCCTCATTCCCTTCTCCTCCATTCTTCTCAGGATTTGGGGCACACATGCCTATCATGATTTTCAACCACCAGGTCCAGGTCCATGGTCAGCTATGTGGGAGTCCAGTGCCTTAACCACTACACCAGCTGCTGGCCCCTAGATTTCCTTTTCAGAAAAGCACTTTGGATGCCTTGAATAAATAAATACAGTATGATAATAATCTTTCCACAGGGATTATTTAGGTATATTACACAGAAGGTATCATTAACCAAAGTACTGCTAATGGACTTTCAAAAAGAATACTGAAATGATGTACCTGGTTCTAACCCAGAATACAGACAGAATACAGCAGCCCAACATACCAAACGGGGCATAAGAAAAGCAGTCTTCCCCTGAAACCAACTAAAAAACACATTTAAAGACCATACCTTAAGCAAAAATATTTTAGTTACGAGAATCCTGAAGTGACAAAACTATATCCTAGAACAAAGAATGATACACAATAAAGAGAACCAAAGTGGAAATAAAATTCTCCATTATACACACTAGTATATATTACTACCAGTTAATTAATGAAAAGTTTATACAAAACACCCTGTTTTAGTTTTTGCAAAAATTCATGTGTGTTTTGTACAGCATAATTCAGTCATTCTCAACATATTCTCTTGTATTGTCATGAAGATCTGTTGGCTTTAAGTACTGTCTCATGAAGATCTGTTGCCTTTAAGTATTGTCTTATACTTTAATTGAGTAAACCTGGTTTGACATTAGAGGTTCAGGTTTTAGGACTAAGTGGGCAGAATTCTGTAAGCATGTTCTTGCCTGAGTGTTACAGGTTATACATTATTACAGCCTCATTTTTCACCTTTTTTTTACAAATGTGAATTTCTGATTTAAATATCAGAAATTTCCCACATACGATTGAAAACACACCATTTCTTAGTAGAAGATGTTAGAGAACTGGGATTTTTATTTACTCATACTATGTTAGTTTGGTCAACATACTTCTACCTCAGTATTATCATCTATAAAATGGAATTGCACTAAAGAGTTCTTAAGTCTCTTCCAGTACTAGAATTTATTCATTTAAATGAACTAAATTATACCTGTCCATACTTAAATTTTCTTCAAATGATGGAGTTCAAAGTATTTCCTTATATTTTGGAAATATAGCAAAGCCCTTTTCATTCCTTTTGATTGCACAAAAGGCGGGGAGAAAAGGAAAACATACCAAACAGCCTAAAACATCTGAAAATATCTGTTTAGCATTTTCTGAATCTAAAAGTAGCCTATATTATGTAAACTGTGAACTTATTAAAAATCAAATTTTACATTTATTTATAGATTTTCTTTCCTCTTTTTTTATTTATTTTTTTATTTTAGGTTTTTGCCATAGGGCGCATATGCCTACTGCAGAAAGAAACAGAGGGAAAGAAAGAAATCACCCCCTCATTCCCTTCTCCTCCATTCTTCTCAGGATTTGGGGCACACATGCCTATCATGATTTTCAACCACCAGGTCCAGGTCCATGGTCAGCTATGTGGGAGTCCAGTGCCTTAACCACTACACCAGCTGCTGGCCCCTAGATTTCCTTTTCAGAAAAGCACTTTGGATGCCTTGAATAAATAAATACAGTATGATAATAATCTTTCCACAGGGATTATTTAGGTATATTACACAGAAGGTATCATTAACCAAAGTACTGCTAATGGACTTTCAAAAAGAATACTGAAATGATGTACCTGGTTCTAACCCAGAATACAGACAGAATACAGCAGCCCAACATACCAAACGGGGCATAAGAAAAGCAGTCTTCCCCTGAAACCAACTAAAAAACACATTTAAAGACCATACCTTAAGCAAAAATATTTTAGTTACGAGAATCCTGAAGTGACAAAACTATATCCTAGAACAAAGAATGATACACAATAAAGAGAACCAAAGTGGAAATAAAATTCTCCATTATACACACTAGTATATATTACTACCAGTTAATTAATGAAAAGTTTATACAAAACACCCTGTTTTAGTTTTTGCAAAAATTCATGTGTGTTTTGTACAGCATAATTCAGTCATTCTCAACATATTCTCTTGTATTGTCATGAAGATCTGTTGGCTTTAAGTACTGTCTCATGAAGATCTGTTGCCTTTAAGTATTGTCTTATACTTTAATTGAGTAAACCTGGTTTGACATTAGAGGTTCAGGTTTTAGGACTAAGTGGGCAGAATTCTGTAAGCATGTTCTTGCCTGAGTGTTACAGGTTATACATTATTACAGCCTCATTTTTCACCTTTTTTTTACAAATGTGAATTTCTGATTTAAATATCAGAAATTTCCCACATACGATTGAAAACACACCATTTCTTAGTAGAAGATGTTAGAGAACTGGGATTTTTATTTACTTTTTTTTATTTTATTTTTTTATTTTTTAGTTTCCTATAGGGCGTGTACACTTGCCAGCAAGAGGCATAGAGAGAGAGAAAAAAAAAAAAAAAGAGAAAACAATTCAGGGATGATCACACTGTGATCCCTTCTATTTCATTCTCCTCTCGGGATTTTGGGCATGCACATGGGCCCAGCATGTTTTTCAAGCTATCAGGTCCAGGACTCCAACAGTGCTGTAGGCCATGTGGGATCCAGCCACCTTATATCAATCCACCTGGCTACACTGAGAACTGGTGCTTTGATTCCAACTTTGCTACTAATAACTTAAGTGACTCTGGTAAAAATTACTTACATTTTCTGTAGTTTTCTTATCTATAAAATAATCTTTAAGGGCCCTGTGATTATAAAATTCTATTAAGCTATCATTCTACTTAAGTTCAGTATTTTCAGTTACAGTTTATACAGCTCAGCTTAATACCATTAGATATGCAATAAAACAGAAATTGAGACATTGAGAAAAGAAACTTAAGAGAAAACTCAACAGTTTAAATTCCTTGGATTTCAATTATAAAATGCATAGAGTTTCATTTAAAAATAAAACTAGAAGTGAGAAAGTGGCGAAGTGGTTAAGATGCTGGGCTCCCACATGGTCAACCACGGTTCGAGTCCTGGACCTAGTGGCCTGAAACTCCTGCATGAGTGTCCAAAATCCCAAGATGAGAATGGAGGAGAAGTGAATGAGGTGTGGTCATCGCCCCTGGGGATAGGGGGGGATGATTTCTCACTTTCTGTCTCTCTGGCGAGCATATGAACCCTATCGGCAAAATCTCACAGGGAAAAAAAAAAAAAAAAAACAGAAAAAGACAACTGACTAACAATATTAGGTTCCATTCTTAATCTAAAATGAAAATCCCTGAAATAAAAAAACTTAGGTTTATGAAACATACACACATACACACATAAAAGAAAAACCACAATCCAAGTCTATCTGCTTAAAATGGAAGGATGAGATGAAGTAATCACTGAGATCTCTTCTACTTCTAGCATAGATCATTCAACTACATTTTGCCATCCTTACAAGAAAGGACCAAGGTAGTCATAGTGTCTGTCCCATAAATACATATTTCTTTACATTTAACTAATTAATGTAACAAGAGAAAAATCAAGCAAGCAAACAAAAATCTCCACTACTTTGAGCAACCATTTCCATTCCTATTACATTTATAAAACATGAAAATATGGTCTACTTTCAATAGAATGGTCACTTATGTTCTCACCTCTCTTTTTAGCTTTTCTCTCTTTCGCTCTTGTTGTTTTTGTAGTTCTTTCTGCCGAGGCGAAAGACAGTATGTTGAGGTCACTGGAGATATAGTTGCAGACTGTGTCCTGTGATTAGATCTCCCATTCCCTTTACTTCGATCTGAGTTGGCTGCAGAGCTTGGACGAACCTTGGGGTTGGGTGGTGGCTGAGGGACATAAGTTAGTGGCTCTTCTGTGGAGGAGTGGGTGATAGCATGACTCTTTGCTGAAGGCTTTTCTTTCTTGACACCACTGTAAGATCTGGGCGACAACAGCTGAGGGTCATTTTCTGTACTAGTAGCATTACTAATGGGGGGCAAAAACCCCTGGCTCTCAATGTCTTGTAAATTCAGAAGTTCAAACTTCCCATCTCTTTCTACCAATATCTTCCTATCCTTGTTTTCTTCACAGTTCCCATCTGTAAGTGATAGGAGCACATTTTCTTGTCCAAATTCACTGGAAATACGTAACTGTGACAGTTTTCCCGACATATTACTTTCATTTTCAAAATTATTTTTGTAAGTATCGTTGTCTTCTAGTGGAGGAACTTCCAGATCAACTAATTTGTCCTTGAACTTAAGTTTCCGCTCCCTTTTATCATTAACAGGTTCTTGATTCTGTAGGAGCTTATTAGCTTGTATGATTTTCTCCATAATATATCTCCTTACTTCCTCATCCTCCTCCTCTTCTAAGTCATTCTGGCTTTCTAGTTTGGATTCCTGGAAAGAATTTTCCATATCTGAATCTGATATGGGATCCAAAGCTTGAATACTTGGTACAGAAATGAAATCACTGCGTCTTGGTGATACCTCATCCTTCGAAGATGTGTCAGGATCAGAAAGCTGTTTGCTATCTTCTATTTCTGCTTCATTCTCTTTTAATTCTTGATTAACATTTTCTTCCTTTTCATAAGTCATCTATAAAAGAGATATAAATTTCAATTTTTCAGTCAAATTTGGATTTTCTTTTTTATGCAATTCATTTTATGAATGGAAAAGTTGAAGTGCTTCTTGCTCATACTTCACACATAATATTCTAATTCATACTGATGATCACTCCAAAGAAGATATATGTGATACTAGTTCAGGAAAACTTTACATCTAAATTAAAATTTGATGTTGTTAAATACTACACTAATTTCTCAAAATCGTTTATACTAATGCACCAAAAGGTACCTACAAACAATATAGTATTAATTTTCCTCCTCCCGTAAAATGTTTCTCCCTTTATATTTTCAGAATTATTTTACTAAATTTTATTTATGTATTTATTTATTTTTAATTTGGCCAGAGAGGGACAGAGAGAAAGAGAGAGAGAGAAAGTGAGAAAGCAAGCCATCAGGTCCAGGACTCGAACCACGGTCAACCATGTGGGAGTCCAGCACCCTTAACCACCATGCCACCTGCCGGCCCCAGAATAATTTTTTTACATGTTTTCTCCTTGTAATATTTGCAATATTTGCATTCTTAGAAAAAGTATTTCTTTCTTTCTTTTTTTTTTTGGGGGGGGGAGAGGTTTTTGCTATACGGCACGTGCGCTTGCCAGAAACACAGAGACAGAAAGTGAGAAATCATCCCCAAGGGGGGATGGCCATGCCAAAAATTCCTTCTCCTCCATTCTCCTCTCAGGATCTTGGGCACGCACACACACACCCCTGGCATGAGTATAAGCTACTGGGTCTGGGACTCAAACTGCGGTCGACTACATGGGAGTCAAGCAACAAAGCCATTACGCCAACTGCTGGTCCCTGGAAAAAGCATCAAACCATGGTTGACTACATGGGAGTCTAGCAACAAAGCCATTACGCCAACTGCTGGTCCCTGGAAAAAGCATTTCTTCCTGGATAGGATGCAACCCTTTGGTTGAGCCATTTGAGATTCCTATAATTTTTTTCACAATACATATAATATATGTGTGTTTTCTCTTTTATCAAAATTCCAGGTCAATTTTTACTTCTAGATCCGATTTTCCTTCCTCCATTATCCTCGGAGGTTTAAGTAATCCATGCTAACACCATCATAACTTGACCTTGCATTTTTCTAAAGATGTAATTCCACATGAACCATAAACCAGTATTATCACATCACAAACATGCTTGATACCTGCTGTTTCTAATTAAAGGTTTTCCTAGCATCTCTCCCAGATGCTTTACCCCCTACAATGTGTATTTTTTTTCTTTCTTAGACAATTCTCTTCCTCCTAAAGTCATTCAACCCCTCAAAATTGCTCCCCTCCTATACGTGCTCACAGGCCACCTTTTCTGATGGCTTTTACTTCTTGATCTGCACAACATAACTACATGTCCAGTCTGATAAGCAAATGAACCTGGCTGACTGCCAAGTAACCACAACATAACTAAGATCTCTGCATTGCAATGGTTCTTTTTAGCCTTGAGTCTCTGGTTCATTCCTACCGTACAAAATATCTAGCTCTGTCATTTTCGTTTTCCCACCAGCCTTAAAGGAAGTTCACTGGAATGTGTAAGACTCATGAGAAACTGGTGTGATCCCTGCTGTATCCTCAGCACCAACAACGTGGTACATCGAGCACACAGTAGGTGATCATCGGTTGAGTGAATTACGTGAAGGCATGCATTATGACGACTGCCCCTCTGGTACCACCTCCCTGTGCTCTGGCTCTCCCACCCTTCTAGTCGTGAGACCTTGGTGGAATTGTCTCACTCTGGGTACCTCTGCCTCTGCTTAATGTGATTGTTTTTCAGCTAAAATGAATAAAATTTCCATCTTAAAGTCATCTTAGAAAATTCAGACTTTAAAAAAAAAAAATTCTCACTTTTGACTCTACTGTGTTTTTCAAATATTATCTAATCCAGTTGTTTTCTCCATTGCATAAGAAAGCAAAATGGAACTGAGAAATTTGTCATATAAAATCTGCTGCTTTCATTTCTTCATATTCTTTTCCTTAAATCTGTTAAATCTGGCTTCTGATAACTACTGATCATTGTAACTCTAGTCACCTATTCATAACCCAGTTTTTACCTTTTCACTCATGTCTTCCTTACTCACAACTTTCTTTTATTTTAGCTTGTTAATTTAATCCCTGATCTCTCACTAATTAGCCCTATTTCTGCAAATACAACATTTAAACTCTATATGACTCAATCTTCTCATCTCTAAGATAGAGATAATGGTACCCGTTCAAAATACATCTAAGAAATTCTATGAGCTTTAGACGAGATAATAAATGTGAAAACTTTCACAAATTGCACTTTGTTAATGTAATCATTGTGAATGCTGTTGGCAATTTACAGATACCTCTGTTGTGCTGGCATCACTATTTTCTTTTTCATTAATTAACCACTCCAAGTCCTTTTCAAAGTCATCTTCATATTCTCCACTTTCTTTTGAATCAGTATCTTTATTTTCATTCATTTTCTGCTTGTTGAAGAATAATGCTATGAGATTTTAAAAGACAAGATATAATATGTCATGTTAGAGGTGGAATGGAGTATGGAAATTAATGTTGAGGCTACGCTAACTATCATGTAGAAACACTGAGCACAATATGTTCACAATAAACACGTATCTATCTGTACATATACTACAAGATAGACTCGATGGCAAGACATTTCTATAGGTGGACATTCCTAATGATTCTGGCTTCCACAGCTCCCAAAACCCAAACATTCAGTGAGATTAAAACAGGTAGATGAGAAGATTGAGGCTGAAAGAGGATTTCCCACAGGTCAGAGCAAATGATTCCATCTTTTTAGTCTTACCCACTCATGTTTACTTAGGTTCAAATAAAAAATGATTACATTAGTCTCATTTTCAGTTTCTCAATTTTTCTAACTATTTGTATGGCATAACTTGTGGTCTGAAGTTTTTAATAACAACTAATTATTAATTATGATGAATGTAGGCTTCCATACAAGTCAAATTTTTGTCAATCCTAAATATATTTTTTCAAGGAAAAAAACATGTGTTATCTAATATTATCTATTCAATAGTGACAGTAAATAGTGTAGTCTAATAAAAAATAATATTAGAATTGGGTACAAATTCAGTCATTTTTAAAGGAACTAAGCTAAAATTATTTTTTCTTTTTTGAGAGGTTTTTGCTATAGGGTGCATGCACTCCCCGGAAAGATAGAGACAGGGAGACAGAAAGCGATAAATCACTTCCTGACCATGCTGCAATCCCTTCTCCTCCATTCTCCTCTCGGGATCTTGGGCACGCATGCACATGCATCCGGCATGAATCTAGGATACCGGGTCTGGGACTCAAACCACAGTCGACTACATTGGAGTCCAGTGACATAGCCATTATGCTAGCTGCTGGTCCTTAAAATTATTATGTTTTTAATTGCTAGAGGGCGTGTGCACTTGATAGAGACAAGGGAAAGGGAGAAAGCACCACCCAATGGGACATGGCCACACAGTAATTAATCCCTTTTCCTCCATATCTGTTTATTCTGTTAGAATTTTGAACATGTACACAAATGCACCAGATTTTTTTTTTTTTTTAAGCTTCCAGGGCTGGGATTAGAACCATGGTTGACCTGTGAAATCTGGCTCCCTTAACTACTAGGTTCTGGGGTTGGCTCTAAATTATCTTTATATTAAAGTTCGTTTTTAGCCTTGCTAATTTTTTTGTGTATATGATGTTTCAAACAAATGAAGCATATAAATCTTCACCTATAATGTGTCTGCATATGTACGTAAACAATATGTGTATGTGTGTGTGTGCATCTCAAATACAACATTGACAAATATATGTTGAATGCCTATATTTTCTTAATAATTTATGAAGTAGGCCTATGACCTTGAGGTGCCCGGAGTCTGCTAGAGAATATAAAGCTAAATAAAAACAGTGGAAAATGGTAATAAAAACGTAAGTGAAGAACTACAGAAGGAGAAATAGGAGAAGCAATAGGGACCAGCAGGTGGCGTAGTGGCTAAGGCACTGGACTCCTACATGGCCGATCATGGACCAAGTCCTGGATCTGCAGCTTGAAAATCATGCTGGGCTTGTGCGCATGCATGCACAAAATCCTGAGAGGAGGATGGAAAAGAAGGGATTGCAGCAGCATGGCCATCCCCCCAGAAGAGGAGGTGATTTCTCATTTTCCCTTTCTATGTCTCTCTGTCCCTTTGATAAGCAAATGTACTCTGTCCAAAAAAGGAAAAAATAAAAAAATAAAAAAACTAAAGGGAAAAAAAAGAAAAGATAAAGTAATCAACTCAGTTTAAAATTGGAGCTATCAAGGAAAAGTGGAATGGAGTTTAAAGTGGAGTGGAGTGGAGAATGTATCAGTTACTCCAGGCAAAGGAAATAGCACAAGAAAGAACATGAAAGTATATGGAATTGCCCAGCTTTTTTTTTTTTGGGGGGGGAGAGGTTTTTGCTATACGGCACGTGCGCTTGCCAGAAACACAGAGACAGAAAGTGAGAAATCATCCCCAAGGGGGGATGGCCATGCCAAAAATTCCTTCTCCTCCATTCTCCTCTCAGGATCTTGGGCACGCACACACACACCCCTGGCATGAGTATAAGCTACTGGGTCTGGGACTCAAACTGCGGTCGACTACATGGGAGTCCAGCAACAAAGCCATTACGCCAACTGCTGGTCCCTGGAAAAAGCATCAAACCATGGTTGACTACATGGGAGTCTAGCAACAAAGCCATTACGCCAACTGCTGGTCCCTGGAAAAAGCATTTCTTCCTGGATAGGATGCAACCCTTTGGTTGAGCCATTTGAGATTCCTATAATTTTTTTCACAATACATATAATATATGTGTGTTTTCTCTTTTATCAAAATTCCAGGTCAATTTTTACTTCTAGATCCGATTTTCCTTCCTCCATTATCCTCGGAGGTTTAAGTAATCCATGCTAACACCATCATAACTTGACCTTGCATTTTTCTAAAGATGTAATTCCACATGAACCATAAACCAGTATTATCACATCACAAACATGCTTGATACCTGCTGTTTCTAATTAAAGGTTTTCCTAGCATCTCTCCCAGATGCTTTACCCCCTACAATGTGTATTTTTTTTCTTTCTTAGACAATTCTCTTCCTCCTAAAGTCATTCAACCCCTCAAAATTGCTCCCCTCCTATACGTGCTCACAGGCCACCTTTTCTGATGGCTTTTACTTCTTGATCTGCACAACATAACTACATGTCCAGTCTGATAAGCAAATGAACCTGGCTGACTGCCAAGTAACCACAACATAACTAAGATCTCTGCATTGCAATGGTTCTTTTTAGCCTTGAGTCTCTGGTTCATTCCTACCGTACAAAATATCTAGCTCTGTCATTTTCGTTTTCCCACCAGCCTTAAAGGAAGTTCACTGGAATGTGTAAGACTCATGAGAAACTGGTGTGATCCCTGCTGTATCCTCAGCACCAACAACGTGGTACATCGAGCACACAGTAGGTGATCATCGGTTGAGTGAATTACGTGAAGGCATGCATTATGACGACTGCCCCTCTGGTACCACCTCCCTGTGCTCTGGCTCTCCCACCCTTCTAGTCGTGAGACCTTGGTGGAATTGTCTCACTCTGGGTACCTCTGCCTCTGCTTAATGTGATTGTTTTTCAGCTAAAATGAATAAAATTTCCATCTTAAAGTCATCTTAGAAAATTCAGACTTTAAAAAAAAAAAATTCTCACTTTTGACTCTACTGTGTTTTTCAAATATTATCTAATCCAGTTGTTTTCTCCATTGCATAAGAAAGCAAAATGGAACTGAGAAATTTGTCATATAAAATCTGCTGCTTTCATTTCTTCATATTCTTTTCCTTAAATCTGTTAAATCTGGCTTCTGATAACTACTGATCATTGTAACTCTAGTCACCTATTCATAACCCAGTTTTTACCTTTTCACTCATGTCTTCCTTACTCACAACTTTCTTTTATTTTAGCTTGTTAATTTAATCCCTGATCTCTCACTAATTAGCCCTATTTCTGCAAATACAACATTTAAACTCTATATGACTCAATCTTCTCATCTCTAAGATAGAGATAATGGTACCCGTTCAAAATACATCTAAGAAATTCTATGAGCTTTAGACGAGATAATAAATGTGAAAACTTTCACAAATTGCACTTTGTTAATGTAATCATTGTGAATGCTGTTGGCAATTTACAGATACCTCTGTTGTGCTGGCATCACTATTTTCTTTTTCATTAATTAACCACTCCAAGTCCTTTTCAAAGTCATCTTCATATTCTCCACTTTCTTTTGAATCAGTATCTTTATTTTCATTCATTTTCTGCTTGTTGAAGAATAATGCTATGAGATTTTAAAAGACAAGATATAATATGTCATGTTAGAGGTGGAATGGAGTATGGAAATTAATGTTGAGGCTACGCTAACTATCATGTAGAAACACTGAGCACAATATGTTCACAATAAACACGTATCTATCTGTACATATACTACAAGATAGACTCGATGGCAAGACATTTCTATAGGTGGACATTCCTAATGATTCTGGCTTCCACAGCTCCCAAAACCCAAACATTCAGTGAGATTAAAACAGGTAGATGAGAAGATTGAGGCTGAAAGAGGATTTCCCACAGGTCAGAGCAAATGATTCCATCTTTTTAGTCTTACCCACTCATGTTTACTTAGGTTCAAATAAAAAATGATTACATTAGTCTCATTTTCAGTTTCTCAATTTTTCTAACTATTTGTATGGCATAACTTGTGGTCTGAAGTTTTTAATAACAACTAATTATTAATTATGATGAATGTAGGCTTCCATACAAGTCAAATTTTTGTCAATCCTAAATATATTTTTTCAAGGAAAAAAACATGTGTTATCTAATATTATCTATTCAATAGTGACAGTAAATAGTGTAGTCTAATAAAAAATAATATTAGAATTGGGTACAAATTCAGTCATTTTTAAAGGAACTAAGCTAAAATTATTTTTTCTTTTTTGAGAGGTTTTTGCTATAGGGTGCATGCACTCCCCGGAAAGATAGAGACAGGGAGACAGAAAGCGATAAATCACTTCCTGACCATGCTGCAATCCCTTCTCCTCCATTCTCCTCTCGGGATCTTGGGCACGCATGCACATGCATCCGGCATGAATCTAGGATACCGGGTCTGGGACTCAAACCACAGTCGACTACATTGGAGTCCAGTGACATAGCCATTATGCTAGCTGCTGGTCCTTAAAATTATTATGTTTTTAATTGCTAGAGGGCGTGTGCACTTGATAGAGACAAGGGAAAGGGAGAAAGCACCACCCAATGGGACATGGCCACACAGTAATTAATCCCTTTTCCTCCATATCTGTTTATTCTGTTAGAATTTTGAACATGTACACAAATGCACCAGATTTTTTTTTTTTTTTAAGCTTCCAGGGCTGGGATTAGAACCATGGTTGACCTGTGAAATCTGGCTCCCTTAACTACTAGGTTCTGGGGTTGGCTCTAAATTATCTTTATATTAAAGTTCGTTTTTAGC